TAGAGGCCCTCGGGGTGCAGCTGCAGACGAAGGCCGCCACGGGCTCCAGCGTATCCAGCGAGATGAGGCCCTGCCATGCGCGAAACGTTTTTGCTTCCGTTCATCCGCTGTGGACGCCTTGCAGTTAATGCAACATGCCTTGTCGTGCCGGCAACGATGTGAGGCATTCAAGAAAGGGCCTCGCCTCCGATGGCCGAAGGAGTTGCCAGTTCTTCCTCGACGGAAGTTCGGCGGAACGAGGCGGAACTAGAACGAGGCCGCCTCCGCCGGCGGAAGCTCGGCGGAAGCCGGCGGAAGCCAAAGGGTGCCACCTCCGCAGGCGAGAGGTTGCACCCTTTGGCCTCCTGGACCCCTGTTAGCGCCCCGAGGGCATCCTCTGTGGGCCCTTCGCTTCTAAGTCCGTGCAAACAGGGTGGCCAGTCAGCAGTGTGATCTGGAGCCTGGTTTCTGCGACAGTCCATTTCCGCTGCGGGCACTGGTTGCACAGAGGTAGCCATTATTGAGAAAGTGCAAGCTGACTGGCAGACAATGTTAAAACAATGGCGAATCGTCCTGGCTTCTGTGGCCTGCACGAATTGTTCTGGAATAAGTCTGGCTCATACCGGCTTGTTTTAACACGTCGGGCTTACGTTCTAAGAACATTGTTTGGTTCTTAGAACATTTTTGGGTCATAAAATTCCGTGGTAGGCCCATAGGAATGCCCGGACGGTCGGTCCCTGCTGAAAATGTCGTATCGCACTACGTCGTTACAGGCCGCGCGGCTTGCTCACGGTTGACATTCCCCCCCCCGCCCTGCCCCGTCCCTCCCGACCCGCCTTCGAATTTCCATGGGCCCATCATCCGCGGACGACGCATATGCGCCGCACCGCGTTGGCGTCTCCCGAGGCGTCGTCGTTCCCTGGCCCAGTCATGGTGCGGTGCGGAGGTCCTCGGCACTCAGAGACGCAACGCTATGCGCACCGCCGCGTTGCACGCTGCATCGCCCGGACGTGTGCACGTCCTCTCGGCGGGACCCTCGGGGAGCACCTGCGGCCATCTGGCGAATCGTGCACCCACGAAGCCGACGGGTGCACGGGGAGCGGCCCGAGGGGAGTCCAGACATGGTTCCCGTGCGTGTCGACGGCGAGCAAGGGGGGCGGGAAGCGAGGGGGGGCGGGCCTGCTCAGAAGCCTCGGAGGTCCCCCGGCCTCCTGAGGAGTTTCCGTGGCCTCCCCCCCGAGGACGGACGCAGAAAAGACTTCTCTCGGAGGGCGCCTCAGGGGCTTCTGGGAAGGCCCGCCGCCTTCCGAGGAGCAGGCTTTCTCCTCCTCCTTTCCCCCCCTCGCTCGCCGCCGAGCAGGAGCACCGCTCCCGCACTCCCGGCCCGGGCCGCCCGGCCCACCCGCCCGCCTGCCCACGCCCTTGCCCGTGGTGGCCGCCCGCCTGCCCCCGCCGCGCAGGGCCCGCGGTGGGGGCGGCGGGCGGCGGGCGGAGGGCGCGGCCTGGCGGCCTCCTGCGGCACGGCGGGGCGGGGAGTCTTTTCCGGGGAAGCGCGCTGCTCTGTGTGTGCGCGCAGTGGGAGCCCACGCCAAGGAACACCTCGGACGTCCTGGGGTCTCGGGGGTGGGTTTCTCGTGTGGGAGGTGTCTCTGTGGACGGGCCTTCGCTGTTCGGAAGAAATTGTTGCGATGCCCAGCAGCGTGTCCTGTTCATCTTGAACTGGACTCGCGGTCCGCGCCGCCGCGGACGCTGTTCTTTTGGACACTGGGCGCGGAAGCCGCCTGCCCAACAGCGGCCGCTGTCGGTTTGGGATAACCTTTGTTGTTGGGCAGGGCAGTGTACCCATGTTGTCCGTACCCATTTCGGGCGTCCAGAATCGTCGGGCTCACACATCCGAAAGAACAAGCGGCACGGGAGCTAGTAGTTGAGGCTTCGGATCGCGCACGGATTGCTCCCCAAAGCTAGTCCCGCCCTGGGGGGAACCGTTGACCAGGCTCCCCAAGGAGCCACGGGCGATTCTGGCGCCGCCTCTGGCGCCTCGTGCTGAGGGTGCCTGTTGAGGCCAGCCGGGACTACCTGGGTGGTTGTCTGCGCACAGCCCAAAGCCTTGTCCAATCTGAAATTTGGAAGCGTGCTTGCATGCGGCTAACGGGCACCACCTGTGGCCGCCCCCGAGCAGACACGACTTGCCCGGCGAGGAAAGGGGAAAGGAGAGGAGGCGCAGGCGGCAGCAAGCGACGACGAACGCGCAGGCGGGAGGCCAGGGCTGGCGACGCGAAGTAGGCGGGCGGGCAGACGGGCGGACGCGCTGATCCACCTTGTCGTCCCAGATGGCGAAGGTTCCTCTCCTGTCCAGCTCGCCCATGCGGTTTCGAATGCGTCCTTCCAGCCTGTTGGCGTGTGTTTGTGTTCGTGTGTATGTGGTTGTTGTTATGCGTCTTTCTCCGCCCTGTCGCTGCGCGCAGGGCCGCGACGCTAAAAACAACTGTGTGTGTGCACGCTCACGTAAGCTGGTCGGGGTCCCCGCCTCTCCGCCGCCAAGACTTGCGGTCTTCTCGTCTAAAGCGTTCGGTGCCATCCGATCGTGCGCGCCCCACCCTTCCTTTACTCGCGGAAGCCGCAGTGCCCCTTCGCTGGGGGAGAAGCCGTGCACGTACGTGCGCGTGTGGATGTCAGCAGTTTGTTGAGTTGCCTCTGGCCGCTGCACGTTTCGCTTGGATTAGCAGTTCCTTTTTCGCACCGCCCATTCCTGCACTTGGCAGTGCGCACGGTTTGTACAGTGTGCCTTCGACACCGTCCGATCGCAATTCGCACTTCCATCTGCCGCTCGCGCCTGAGGACCCTCTGCGTCGCTTGAAAAGTTGATGTCGGTTTGCGTACGGCCAGGCCAAGGTATAAGATCGGGGTCGTTTCGGGGAGTTTACCCTACAGCAGTCAACCCTTCGGCCGCTTTCACTGGCCGCGCCCCGTTCGCATGGTGTCGACATGGCCTTCCAAGGCTTTTGCGTCCTTATAGCGCATCCTTATCATGCAGGTCGTATGCGCTGCCTTGTGTGTCTGTTGGATGCGCTTGTGCATCCTGGGGAAGGGCACCGTCGAGTGATCTCATTGTTTGGGGTATTCTGGTTGGGGGAGGGTCTCATGCTCTTGAAGGATGGGTTTCTGTCCCAGGTCTGACCGAGGCTCATACCCCGACGTGCCACCGGAGCGGTATATACTCCCCAGCCGCCCTGGATACTTCTAGCAACACCCACTCTGCGACCCCCGTTGACGACCCGCGCGTGCACCTCCCAGGGCGGCGTGGGGCAGCCCTTCTGCTGGGATGACCGTGGGGGGTTCTCTAAGTGGCTTGGGGGGGGGTACGCGTGGATGCCGAGGTGGGCTATACCTGGCCCACCCTGGCTGATGAGTGGACTACAAATACACAGCCCACGCAGCTTAAGGGGGGGGTTTGCGATCCATGCTGCGTGGGCCTCTTCGCTTCTGGCGCGGTTCTGCTGCACGTGGCCAGGGGCGAGACGGCCAGGGCCCCAGGACCAGGCGTGTCCCAGTGCAGGACGCGGCTGGCCTCCTCTCCGCACTGCTTCGCTGTCGCCCGGCGTGCGAACCGGCGGCCCCCCGAAGCCCGCGGGGGGTCGCCCCGAGAGCCTCCAGAGGTCGCAGAGGTGACAATCAAAGTCTTAGGTGCTCGTTCTGGGGACCTTCCTGGGGGCCACCTGGCAGTGCAGTCCAACCCTAGCTCGGCTCAAGGTCGAGCTAAACAACGACCCAAGTTCGACGCAGGTCGACGGACGTATGACGCGCTATGGACGCACGAGGGGGGCGAGCGGCTCCAGGAAGGTCCCCAGAGCGAGCGTCGGAGAAATCCGCAGACTTCGCTCCTCGATCCCCTTCGGTTTGGGATTCGGCCCCAGCGCTCCTGGGCAGGCCTCCGACGCCGCGACGTGTCGACAGCGTCGATCCCCGAGGTGTCGAAGCCTTCCCAGGGGCGGGTGCTTCATCCCGCGCCGTTTCTTTGGCACTCCCGGGGGCCGTCAGGGGCCCCCGGGGGCCGACGATTGCAAGCAGAACGCGCCGAGTTCTGTTGCTGCTTTTGGAGCGAAGTTGAAATTCGTGGGCTGGATCGGTCAGTTGGTCACCCTTGCTCCCCAGACGCCCGACGATGCGTTGTTTTTGCTCAGCTCGCGGCCCCCGAGGTCCCGACCCATCCCTCAGGGTCGATTTTTTTCCCATGGCCCAGGGGACGGACAACGGGCCCCAGAGGCCGGAAGCGAACGGAGCCGTCGGGCGATGGAGGCGCCTCATCGTCGGAGAACTTGTGGCGGGCCAGGCCCGCGCGGCCCCCGCAGGGAGGCGATGAGGATGAGGATGAGGATGAGGATGAGGATGAGGATGAGGGAGGAGGAGGAGGAGGAGGAGGAGGAGGAGGAGGAGGAGGAGGAGGAGGAGGAGGAGGAGGGGGAGGCGGAGGGGGGAGGAGGAGGAGGAGGAGGAGGAGGATGAGGAGGAGGAGGAGGAGGAGGAGGAGGAAGAGGAGGAGGAGGAGGAGGAGGAGGAGGAGGAGGAGGAAAGGAGTAAGGAGGATGAGGAGGAGGAGGAGGAAAGGAGGAAGAGGAGCGATGCGGGGGAGGAGGGAGAGGTAGGGGACGGGAAGGGGGGGAGGCGGAGGAGCGGGAGGGGGAGGCGAGGAGGCGGAGGAGTGGTGGGAAGGAGGAGGAGGAGGAAAAGAGGAGGAGGGGAGGGGGAGGAGGAGGAGAGGAGAAGGGAGGAGAGTAGGAGGAGGAGGAGGTGAGGAGGAGGAGGAGGAGGAGAAAGGAGGAGGAGGGAGGAGTAAGAGGAGGAGGAGGATGTATCGGTAAGGATGGCTAGTATTATTAGTAGGAGGAGGAGGAGGAAGTGGATGAGGAGGACGACGGGCCCCTGGGTGGGGAGCCCTGGTGATTCTCCTTGGTGGCTGGGGTTCCTTGGCGCCCACGGCCAGCGCCGCCCCCCGCTGGGCGCGAGCCCGTCCGCGCGCCGAGGTCGAGCCTCCGGCACCTCAGCTTGGCCGTGTGCGGCATAGGGAGCCTCGGCGGCCGGGCGCTGGCGAGCGCCCTGGCCACGAACAGGATCGCGGCCTCTCAGCCTTCCTCCTCCTCCTCCCTCCTCCCTCCCTCCTCCTCCGTTCTCCCCGCCTCTTTCATCCTCCTCCTCCTCCTCCTCCTCCTCCTTCCCCTCCTCTACGCTGCGCTCCTCCTCCTCCTCCCCTCCTCTTCCCCTCCTCCTCTCCTCCCTCCTCCTCCTCCCTCCTCCCTTCCTCCTCCTTCCTCCTCCCTCCTCCTCCCTTGTCTCCTCCTCCTTCGTCCTTCCTCCCTCCTCCTCTCCCTCCCTCCTCCTCCCCCTCCTCTCTCCTCCTCCTTCTTCCGCCTCCCTCCTCCTCCTCCTCCTCCTCCTCCTCCTCCTCCTCCTCCTCCTTGTCTCCTCCCCTCGCCCTCCTCCTCCTCCTACCTCTATCCTCCTCCTCTCCTCCTCCTCCTCCCTTCTTTTCCGCCTCCTCCTCTCACTCCTCCTCTCCTCCTCCCTCTTCATCCCCTCCTCCTTCTTCTCCGTCTCCTCCTACATTACTCCTACTCCTGTCCCCTGTTCCTCCTACCCGCATCATCCTCCTCCTCGAACTCTCCTTTTCCTCCTCCTCTTCCTCCTCGTCCTCCTCCATCCATCTTCTCCTCCTCCTTCATCCTCCTCCTTCCTCGTTTCCCTCTTCTTCCTCCTCCTCCTTCTCTCCTTTCCTCCTCCCCTCCTCTCCTCATCCTTCCTCCTCTTCCTCCCCTCATCCTCATCCTTCATCCTCCTCCTCCTCCTCCTCTCCTCCTCCTCCTCCTCCTCCTCCACTCTCTCATCATTCCTCCTCTGGTTCCTGTTTCCTCCTCCTCCTCCCTCTCCTCTCGTCCTCCTCCCTTTCCTCGTCTCCTCCCTCCTTGTATCCTCCGTCTCCATCTCCTCCTCCTCTCCTCCTCTCCTCCTCCTCTCCTCCTCCTCCTCTCATCCTCCTCCTCCGCCTCCCTCTTTTCCCTCGTCTTCCGCCTCCTCCCAACTTCCATCCTCCTCCTCCTCCTCCTCTCCTCCTCCTCCTCCTCCTTCTCCTCCTCCTCCTCCTCCTCCTCCTCCTCCTCCTCCTCCTTTCCCTCCTACTCCTCCTACTCTTCCTCCTCCTCCTGCTCCCTCCTCTTCCGCTTGATCCTCCTTCTGTTTACTGTTTTCTCTGCCTCCTCCTCGTCTCGGCAGGCTTTTCAGCGCTCTTTGGCCTCATGGGGAGGCCGCCGCCCAGCGTCAGGGCAGTCAAGAGACGAGTCGGGGCGAGCAGCCGGCCCTGGGTGGGGGGGGGGACCGCCGGGCGGGCACACAGGTTTGGCATCGCTCGGACGTGTGCGTTGTGTCTCGGCGAGGACCATCCAGGAGCATCACTGGGTGCTCCTGCGACAAGGTAGGCGCACGAAGTCGACGAGTGCACGGGGAATGGACGTCCGCGCAATGGCGAGCAGGCCTCCAGGCCACGACAGTTTCTCGCCAGCGGCGGCGAGAAGGCACGCAGCGTTCCCTGAGATCATGGCGCCGCGCCTTTTTCTTGTGCGAGCCGGGCGTGGTCGCATAGTTTCGGGCCCTGGAGCCCTCACGGGTCGGTCCGGCTCGAGAAATGCCACAGAGAGATTGGGTTTCGGGCTCCGGTCCCTGGCGCCGCGCGTTTTTTGTTCGAGCTGGGCGTGGTCGCACAGTTTCGGCCCCGGGGCCCTCATGGGTCGGTCCGGCTCGAAGCATGCCACGGAGAGATGGGGTCTGGGGCTCCAGTCGTGCCTCCCCAGCCGCGTCGTCGGATCTCAGGGTGGCGCATCCACCGCGGGGTCGCAGAAGACCTATAACAGTGGAGCGCTTGTGCAGATGGGGAGGGGGGCGGCCGCAGACATCCAGCGTCGTGGCACCATGAAGGCGGGAGCTTTTCGCCGTTCTGGGCCTTGGGCAGGAGGAGCATTCAAAAGTGTCAGGAAATAGTCCGGGGACGATTATTTGTTTAACCATCTTTGACCATTTTGGAGCTCGTCCAAAATCCCCCCTTGTAGGGGGACAGGCCCGACATGAGCCTTGCTTGGGTGGCCGTCCTCGGGCTCCAGAGCCGTTGCAAGAGCGGCTCTGGAGAGCGCTCCAGCGCCGAGGACAGGGCCGGGACTCCCGGGGAGTCTCGCACAAAAGGCGTCGAGCTGCCGGGCTATGGCACCGAGCGCCACTCGAGGCGTCGGACGGCCGGGGAGCCTCGAGGCAAACGTCGGGAGGCGCGTGTCGTGCCGCCGCGGCAGCCGCGCCAGCACGGGCGTTCGAGGCGGAGCGCCGCGCGCGGCCCGGAGTCGGCCGACCTCGAGAGGTCCGCGCTGTCATCGGGGGCGGAGAAGAGGGGGGTGATGACTAGGGGGGGCGGATATCAGGGCGTGGGCCATGATATTTCCCCAGATCTTCTGGCGCCTCTTCTTGTTTCATGACGTCCCTGGCCCCCCCGCTGGGCCGCGCACGTGGCGCCGGTCATGATTTGCACCCTCCCCCCCCTCTTGGACACCCCCCTCTTGGCCGCTCCCGATGTCAGAAATCCGCGATCGTGGAAGGAACGATTCACGCTGTGGTCAGAAGTCATCGCGCAGCTCGTGACGACACGAGCCCGCCGTGTCGAGCCCGAGTTTCCCCCGCAGGTTCAGCGCAGGGGCAGACAGAAAGTTAAAACCTTCACGAGCGCATGCGCAAGTGAACAACATAATCACTCGGGACGAGATGCCGCTCCGGTGGAAGGCGTCACCGGACTTCCGACGTCGCCATTTGTTAGGCAGCGCGGGCCTCCGCATAGGTCTCGGCCCTTGCCTTATTGCCGGCTTTTTGTTCCCAGTAGTTGTTTGCCGGCCATGGCCCGAGGAGGGCCCCAGGAGGCCTCAGAGGATCAGAAGGGTTCGGTGGCGTTTTTGTTCACGACGTGAGGTGGTCTAGGACCTAGACCACCTCACGTCGCAAACGAATTGCGACGCCATTTTATATTCAAATGTTAACCGTAAACGCTAGTCGTGAGGTGGTCTAGGACCTAGGCCACCTCACGACCGTGATTGCGAAGCGAAGCACGACGCCTGGGATTTGGGCCTGGGGGGGTCGCTGTAGGCCACACGCTGTGAGCATACCCAAGGCATCACTCGAGTTTCGAGGAGGTTTCTGTACGCGTTGGCTATCTAGTGGCATCAGGCCCATCACGCCACCGTGCCAAGTTTGTTGGACAGAGGCCTTTTGGATGCTGCCTGTGTGTATCTCTTGGGGGGGCCTCTCGGAAGCCTCTTGAAGACGGTCCAGGAGTGTCTTTTTGGGCTTCTCGGGGGTCTCTTCGGGGACTCTTGGGGCCTGATGTGGGCCTCTTGGGGGCCGCCTGGAGCTTCTGGCGGGCGTCTTGGGGGCCTGCCGTCGGGCTCGGAGGTCGTCTTAGGATGTATGTATGTATGTATGCATGCATGCATGTATGCATGCATGCATGTATGCATGTATGCATGTATGCATGTATGCATGTATGCATGTGTGGATGTGTTGATGGATGGATGGATGGATGGATGGATGGATGGATGGATGGATGGATGGATGAATGTGTGTATGTGTGCATGCCAATGTATGCGTTTATGTATGTGTACGTATGTGTGTATGTGTATGCATGTCTGTCTGTCTGTCTGCCTGCCTGTCTGTCTGTCTGTCTGTCTGTCTGTGTCGATGTGTGTACGTGTATGTGTATGTGTATGTATGTGTATATGTTCATGTATGTATCTGTGCATGGGTGTACATGTGTATGCGTGTATGTGTGTATGTTTGCATGTCTACATGTCTGTATGTCTGTCTGTCTGCCTGCCTGCCTGCCTGCCTGTCTGTTTGTATGTATGTATGTATGTATGTATGTTTGTATGTATGTATGTATGCATGTATGTATGTATGTATGTATGTATGTATGTATGTATGTACGTATGTATGTATGTATGTATGTATGTATGTATGTATGTATGTATGTATGTATGTAGACACATTCCCCTCTTATGCTTCTCTTCTTGACGGTGGCCCTGTAGGGCCCACGTGACGAGACGATCGTGACGTCGGATGCGCGCATCCCCGCGGGCATCGCCGGGCGGGCCAGGCGTTTCGAGCAGACGGGAAGGCGGGCAGACGGGGACGGGGGCAAATCGTGCAGACGGGAAGGCGGGCCACGCGTTTCGAGCGGTCCCTGCGGCTTGCGCCAGGGCGAGCCTCGGGCATGCGGTTGCGCCACCTGGGCGACGCAGAAGAACGGGTTGGGCTGCGCGGACATTGGCGCGTAAGCTGCAGTGTCGCGCGTAAGTGCCCTCGTTTCCAATCTAGCGCGCCGAGCTGTTTGCCCACGGAAGCCATCGCGGAAGGTCGCTATGCCGTCTCGCGCAAGACCCGTGACGTTCACGTCGCGAAACATCGGATGGACGCGTCCCCAGGGGCATCGCCGGGCGGGCCACGCGTTTCGAGCAGACGGAAGTGTGGGCGGTCAATGCGGCCTACGCCAGAGCAAGCCTCGGGCATGAGGTTAAAGTGGAGGCCTATGCCACGAAACACCCTGCTTGCCTCCAGGGTGCCCTGGGTTTCTTGGGTTTTGACGGTTTTGCTGTGGAAAGCGTGACGTTCCCACACCAAAAAGTCAGTGGACGTCCTGGGATCTCAGGGTTAGGTTTCTTGTGGAAGGTTTCTTGTGGTCGGGCCTCTACTGTGCGCCACTTGTCACTAAGCGGAGCTGTATCCGCGTGCGCTTGCGGCGCGCCGTTGTGCCCGCGAGCAGTGTCCGGCCTTCGTCGATCCCTCCCAGGGGTTGGGACGCTTTTGAGTGCGTGTGGGATTCGAGGTCATACCGCCGCATTTGCAGCAGTCTCCAAGGACCTCTCCCCCCGCCCTCCTCTATTAACTTTGTATGCATATCGCATTGCAAATATTGTTCAGACACACCGATTCCTGAGGCCACGGCCTCGCCCACATGGTCGCAGTTAGGCCCGGACGGCGTCCGCAGCGGTGGTCGTATCGTATCGCATCGTGTCGTATTCCCCGTCGTCGTGCTGATCATCAAGGGGGCGCCGCTCGCCAGGTCGAATTCAGGAACGGTCAGTTGCTGTGTAAATCAGGTGTGCAGCAGAGATGCATTTCTGGTATGGGTGTTCTTTTGTGTCGCGCTTGGCCAACGCAGTCTCGGTACGTTTCCTTTTTTTGTCCGCCTGGACGTTGCGCGAAGGGTAATTTCAATGCGTTGGTTGGGGCGAATTGCGTTGGCTGGACGGGCCCGTGGGATGAGATAGGCCATCTTGATGACCTCGATGGCTGGGACGGGCGACACGACTATACAATTCTAGACCGGACGGATGATGATGTCGTCGGGACGGAAGCGACGAGGCGGATGATATGCACCCTCGACGTGGCTGTGGTGATGGAGACATGTAGCTGTACGGAGCAACGGTCGAGCGAGCAGAGGCAGCGCGACGAGCCAGGGGAGGTCCCCAGAGGCCCTTCCTGTGCAGCTCGCCGCGCGAAGGCCCCTCGCGGGCCCTGCAGGCCCCCCCCCCAAGGGGGCCTCTGGGGGTGTCCGGAGGCTTCGGGGAGGCTTCCGCAGGCAGGCCCGAGCGGGATCAATCACGTGGTGGCATCTGCAGCAGGTGGCGCCAACATCGCAGAGCGGATTTCGTTCGGAACACGATGGGGTTGGCCAGGATTGTCCAGGAGAGTTTCGTTCCGGATCTCGAAGTGAAGGTCGTGCGGATTTTTTGGCCAGGGCTGAAGACTACAAAACACTCCGCGTGACACTCACGTCGCTTTTCGCTCGCAATTTCGGAGAAGGGTGCCCAGAAAAAGGGCCGACATTTCCCGAGGCTCGTCTGGATTGGGCGAGCGCCCCTGCGCCCCGCTGGCAGGGCGCGGCCGGCTGATCGCTCGCACCCCATTCCACCCCTTCTTCCGGGCCGCCTTCGCGGCATCCCTGGCTCTCATCCGCGCTTCGACGGGCCTGGACATCGACCCTCGGGGGCTGATCTGGGTCCGCTGTCGCGGCACCGACCCTTCACTGCCACGCTGTGGCCGAGGAGCGCGTCCCCAACCTGTCCCGCCATGGGCGCCCCGCCCATCGTCTGCCGACCAGCGACGGGGCACAGAGCTCCGACCCCGTCCCCGAGGAGCCTCGTGACCCTCGACCTCTCCTGCAATGCCATCACGGCCGCGTCCACCCAGGCGTTCGGACAGGCAGCGGCTCGGCGGTGGGAGAGACGACTCGGCGAGGGCAACGGGAGGCGCACGGCATCTGCGACCAGTTGCGAGTCAAACCCCAGCGGGTCCAATCGACGCTGGGGCATCGGACACCCCTGCTTGGGTTGGCTTGGCTGCTAGCACCCGTTGAGACCGGACCCCTGGCCCGCGTTTCAAGACTCTGACCTGCAGGGCTAGGGTTCGCATGCGGTTACCAAGCGCCAGAGAGAGGAGGAGCAGGAGGAGGGAGGTGCTAGGATGAGGACGACGAGGAGGAGGGAGGAAGAGGAGGGCGGACAAACACGTGATTGTGCGGTGCCCCGCTGTCCCAGCTGTCGCGCGACCGATGCCGTGCCCTTCTTTCCTGCGCCCACTTCGACTGCCTACGCTGCCTCGTGATACCTGATGATCGTATGACACCCTCCGGCGGGGCGCAGTAGAGAGGCAACGTGGAACAGGCAGGAGGAGCAGCAGCCAGATAGTTATGCAAGCGGGAGGAGCGCAGCATGCAGGAGGACCCCTCGAGCGCAGAGCGATCCCCCTGTGGTCTGGGGGCGCGCGACGGGGGCTTGTATTGGGCCCTGGGGCCTCAATTCAAACCATCGGGAGGGGTCCAGACCTCCGTGAGGACGATGAGGATTGGAGGGTGAATGGCTCGTGCGGCCTGGAACTCGCGGTCGTTTTATAATCTATAGTGTGTCCAGAAAGAACGGGACCGACATCGGCAGCCTCTCCCTGTCCGCGTTGAACAGGGCTCGTTGTCGGTGTCACCACGACTGTTGTCGATTGAGACAAGACGTCGCTTGCCCAACAGCGTCCACTGTCGGTTTGGACAATATTTGTTTTCGGGCATCTTGCAGCCAACCCGCGTCATAAGGATGGGCAACCTTTCCAAGGGTACCCTTGCATCCTTGCCTCCTCGGCCTATTCTTGGCGACCTTCGTTGATTCGTTGGCCGCGCCCCGCTCGAAAAAAATTGAAGTGACCTTCCAAGGCCCTCGCATCATTATGATCTGTGCCGACTGTACCCATATTCCCATCCATGTAACTTATTGCGCTCGCAGGGAGAGGAGGCGGTGGTGGAAGAACAGGCGGCCCATTGGAGGCTCCCGGCTTGACAGCAGTGGTGCCCGGGCGACCGCGGGGCGCCGTGGGGTTCCCCAAGGGCCCCCGCGACGTCAGACAGTTGGGCGCCCCCCCCCGCGCGAACTCAAATTCCGAATCGTCGGAGTCTTCCCCCAGCCCTGCCTCCTCCTCCTCCTCCTCTTCACCATCCTCCTCCTCCTCCTCCTCCTCCTCCTCCTCCTCCTCCTCCTCTTCCTCCTCCTCCTCCTCCTCCTCCTCATCCTCCTTTTCCTCCTCCTCCTCCTCCTCCTTCTCCTCCTCGATCTCCTCCTCCTCCTCCTCCTCCATCCCGGTGGGGACGGGCGCCGCGAGACCCGAGGGAGGCGGCCCCCCATCCCCGCCTATAGAAGGGGGGGCGGATCGGCCAAGCGGGGGGGAGGTTTCCCCGGCGGGGGCGGGGATGGCTCTGGCCAGGGCTCAAGAGGCGGGGGCGGCAAAGAGGGGGGTGCTGACTAGGGGGGGTGGATATCAGGGCGGGGGCCATGAGATTTCCCCAGATCTCATGGCGCCTCTTCTTGTTTCAATGCGTTCCCTGGCCCCCCCGCTGGGCTGCGCACATGCCGCCGGCCATGATTTGCACCCCTCCCTAATGGACACCCCCCTCTTGGCCGCTCCCGTCAGAGCGCCGGGCCTTGCAGGATCCTGCAGTGCCAGGAGCGCAGTGGGCAGTGACCGGGGCTGGGGTGCAGGATCCTTCTTAGGATCCTGCGGGATCTTGCGGGGCCCTGCAACGCTGGACGGGCCCGGGTCTGGATCGACCCGGGTCAGCAGATCTCCGAGTTGCCGGCCCAGGTATACAGTCGGGGCCCTGAAGAAGGAACCTTTTTCGTTGGGGAGGGGCTCCGGGTTCCTTAGGTGTCTCACAGCTTGTCTCAGGCTTTCCTTAGGTTCTCGAAGGGAAATCGAAGTTCAACTTCTGGAGAAAAGGGGCCTCGTTCCTTATTTAGGGTTCCTTAGGTCAACGCCCCGACTGTAGCTGCTGCGAGCGGGCCCATCTGGAACCGACGGCTGGGCGCTGGCAGAGCACGTGCGATGACGGGGGGTCCGCAGGGGCTGCGCTGCCACTTCGTGGCGGGCGGGGTCGAGAAAGGCTGGCCCTGAGCGGCCAGCTACCACCAGTCTGTGCTGCACGGCGGCAGAGACGGAGAGAGGAAGGAAGAGAGGGGGCGAGAAGTCCCGTCCCTCCGCATCCTCTCTCCAGTCCTCCTCCCTCCTCCTCATCCTCCCTTCTCTCTCCTCCTCCTCCTCCTCCTCCTCCTCCTCCTCCTCCTCCTCCTCCTCCTCCTTTTCTTCCTCCTCGTTCCCACCTCGTTCTTCTGCCTGGTCCGCATCGTGCTCGCGAGATGGCGGGGGGAGGGGGGGGGGTGGAGTTGATAAAACCGTGTGTGCGTACAACTTCGTTTTGCTGCGTTGCATCGCCGTCACTAGCATCATCATCATCATCGGCATCAGTTGACAAAGTCGTGTGCGCGTGTACATGCGTGTTTTCATACTATCACAAAGTGTGTTCTCATGTCATCGCTGTCGCGACCCAAGCATCCCCAGAGATGTGCGATCTGGTGGCACACAACCCGTGCGTCGAATCCATCAACATGGCGACTGCGACGACGATCGTGCGATGATGGCGGTACCCGATAGCAGGAAGGTGACTGAGCCTCAAACCAGGTACGGAAGAGAGTGCCCGAGATGATAACTTAACTTGATATATTCCATATGGAACAACACACATATGATGATGCTGACAAGTATGTGTTTCAAGATGCTGCTGATGACGATGGTGATGACGAGTATGTGTTTCAAGATCCTGCTGATGGCGATGATGATGACGAGTATGTGTGTCAAGCTGCTGGTGATGACGATGATGATGACGAGTATGTGTTTCAAAATGCTGCTGATGAAGATGGTGATGACAAGTACGTGTTTCAATATGTTGCTGATGATGGTGGTGATGACGAGTATGTGTTTCAAGATGCTGCCCTTTCCTGTCGTGCCACCGCCCTATCCTCGGAGATGGCGGTTTCGACATCACCCTGGGATCCCCAAGATCATCCCCTGTCAGGGGCAGGTCGCGAGTACCAGAAATAAGAGTTACGAATGTTCTGGTATGCGCCGGGGGCAATCCATTATCATAATGGGCCTCACAGGGCATCATCGGGAAACACAGTCCACCAGACTAAGGGATAACCCTCTGGGTCTAAGCACCCATAGCGGGTTCCATGAGTCCTCCTCTCCTTCCTCCTCTTTCTCCTCCTCCTCCTCCGCCTCCACCTCCGTCTCTTCCTCCTCATCCCTCTTACTTCCATTGGGTGAGCGCCGAAGCGCGTTCCAGAGGGACATCTTAAGCCTTAATCCCTCGATTCTCCGGCCTCCGGAGGCCCGAAACGAACATGAGCGAATTACCGTATTAGTTGCTTCGCAGCGGGTAACAAAAAAATCATTATGTGATAAACTACAAATAGAATCTGCTGGCAGGTTATGACAAGGTTGATAACGACTATGCTTTGCACGGGATTCCGAAGGTCATTGCGACGATAAGCGCGTGTTTCAAGATGTTGCTGATGACGATGGTGATGACAAGCATTTGTTTCAAGATGCTGCTGATGACGATGGTGATGACGAGCATGTGTTTCAAGATGCTGCTGATGACGATGATGATGGCGAGCATGTGTTTCAAGATGCTGCTGAGGACGATGGTGATGATGACGAGTATGTGTTTCAAGATGCTGGTGATGACGATGATGATGATGATGACGAGCATGTGTTTCAAGATGCTGCTGACGATGATGATGATGACGAGCATGTGTTTCAAGATGTTGCTGATGATGGTGATGACGAGCATGTGTTTCAATGTGATGCTGATGACGATGGTGATGACGAGCATGTGTTTCAAGATGCTGCTGATGACGATGGTGTTGACGAGTATGTGTTTCAATATGCTGCTGATGACGATGGTGCTGACCAGCATGTGTTTCAAGATGCTGCTGATGACGATGGTGATGACGAGCATGTGTTTCAAGATGTTGCTGATGACGATGATGATGATGACGAGTATGTGTTTCAAGATGCTGTTGATGACGATGATGGTGATGATGACGAGTATGTGTCTCAAGATGCTGCCCATGACGATGGTAACGACGAGCATGTGTTTCAATATGCTGCTGATGACGATGATGATGATGAGTATGTGTTTCAAGGTTCTGCTGGTGACGATGGTGATGACGAGCATGCGTTGGGAACAATGCGTTGTCATAATGAGCTCCACAGAGCACGATCGAGTGGGAAGCACAGCCCACCAGACTAAGGGAAAAACTCCCTGGGGCTAGGCACCCATAACAGATTCCATAAGTTATCCTCTCTTCACCCTGCTTCCTCCTCCTCCTCCTCCGCCTCCACCTCCGTCTCTTCCTCCTCGCCCCTCTTACTTCCAGTGGGTGAGCGCCGAAGCGCGTTCCAGAGATATTAACAAGCCTTAATATCTCGATTCTCCGGCCTCCGGAGGCCCGAAATAAACATTAGCGGGCTACAAATTGGTTTCTTTTGTTGTTGAATTACAAAAGGGAATCCTTTTGAGGTGAACTAACATTGTTTTATTTTGTGGCAGATTACAAAAGGATTCCTTTTGTGGAGAATAACAAAAGGATTTCTTTCGTGGAGGATCACATGATGATTCTTTTTTGTGGCGAATTACAAAAGGGAGTCCTTCTGTGGTGAATTACAGAAGGATCTCTTTTGTGGAGGATTACAAAAAGGATTCCCCTTGGTGGAGGAATGCAAAGGGATTCCTTTTGTGGAGAATTACAAATTGATTTCCTTCGAGGGCTCTCCTGGAAGTGAGCCAGGGGACGAAGAAAAAAAAAAAAAAATCCGAAAATCCTTGAAAATTATGAAAATGGCAAATTTTCAAAGAATTTCCAATGTTTTGAAGCAAAAACATATAAAAACACAGCATTTCCAAGGTTTTGAGGCCGAAACCATATGAAAACAAAGCATTTTTGCATTCGGATTGTGAAAATGCTGTGTTTTTTATATGTTTTTGCTTCAAAACATTGGAAATTCTCTGAAAACTTGTATTTTTTAAATTTTCAACGATTTTCTGTTTTTTTTAAATCAATTTGTAATCCTCCACAAAAGGAATCCTTTTGTATTCCTCCACCAAAGGGAATTTCTTTGTAATTCTCCACAAAAGGGATCCTTTTGTAATCCTCCACAAAAGGAATCCTTTTGTAACCCGCCACAGAAGGAAACAATTTGTAATACATCATGAACAGAATTCCCTTGTAATTCCTTACAAAAGAACTCAATTTAAAATGTGCTACAACAGGAATCGTTCTGCATTCCACTACTTTGAGCAATCCCTTTAGAGATGACGAAAAGCGTAATCAACAGGAAAGCAAGCACATCAGAAGTAATAGACCAAAAACCGAGGTGGTACACACACACACACACACGGTTTTATCAACCTTACGGAGGGGGGGGGCCCGACGCGGGGCGGGGCACGGCCGAGCTCACAAGGAGGGCTTTGCGTCGAGGGGGAGGAGGAGGAGAGGAGGAGGAGGAGGAGGAACATAACCAGTGTAAACCCAAGAGGCACCAACGATGTTGGAATAAACCCTCCCTCCAAGCGCCCTCTTCATAGGCACCTGCAACGGTTCATTACCACTGAGGGGGACTGCATCGTTGGAAGACAACCGTTTGAAGACCCTGAAGCATGCCAAAGCATTGTTCTCCGGATTTCCACGCCACGGATGAACCTGACTATTGCGTTTGGGCGATCCTCAATCGTGCCAGACAGCCATTCTTGGGACTTCAACACCGCGAACCAACGTAACTGTTGCACCCTCATAATCATGAATCCTTCCAAACACCATTTCGGGTACGTCGTCCATGGGGATCCGTGAAACTCTTGCACATGTTTAAAACGAATGTACGCGGTGCTAAGGCGAGAGCCACATTTTGAAAAGGAGCCGCCCTCAATCCATGAAACTCTTGCACAGTCTGAAAACGGGTGCGCGCGGCGCAAAGGCGAGAGCCACATGTTGAAAACTACCCGCCCTCAATCCGCAAAACTCTTGCAGTGTTTCGAACGAATGTGCGCCGCGCTCGGGCGAGAGCAACATTTTGAAAACGACCCGCCCTCAGACTGCGAAGCTCTTGCAAATCTGTCAAACAGGCATGTCCCTCTAGAGGAGGGAGTGACCGAAATGGTCAACGAAAAAATAGTCTGGGGTTGATGTGTTGCCTATGTTTGGCCTGGGGGCGTCCTTTGTCTATTCTCCAGGCTGACGCCACGTCCGCCGACCCAATTTGTTGTGGGTGGGTGGAATTCCTAACGGCAGTAGAGGGTTAGAGGATGTTGGTCGGGATCTCGTGGTTGGCCTCGCGGGGGCCTCCTACCATTTCAGGAACATCTGCCGATGCGGGGAGGGGGGGGAGGGAAGAGTTGGATGAGGATAAGGAGGGGGAGGAGGAGGATGAGGAGGAAGTGGGCGATGAGTAGGGTGCGGGGATGAAGAAGGCGACGATGGCGACGACGACAATAGAGGGCTCATGGATAGTAGTCGGGAGGACGTAGTCTGGAGGACGGGGAGGGGGAGGAAGAGTGCAGGTTGGAGGCCTCTTGGGCGCCGTTTTGGTGTCTCTGGGGGCCCCTTTGGGCCTCATGGGTTCGTCGTAGGGGGTCTAACGGGACCTCCTGGGAGCTCCTGAGGGCCTTTCGGTTGCCTTTTGGATCGTGGTCCCCCTCACGGCCCTCTCGTGGGCTCGTTTTCAGGCGGCCATGGGCCGTGTCGGGTGCGTCTTGGACCGTCTGGACCTCTGGGGCAATGTGGGTGTGGGGGCCCTCTTGGCGACCTTTTGGGCCGTCCTGGGGCGACCTCGGGTGCGTCATAGGCCGTCTTGGAGCGTCGGACAGGCGGGAAAGCGAGTTTGCTAAAAATGTACGTTTTACGAAGGGAATGGGGCCATTTTTGCGTCTGGGGACCCTGTTGGGGCACATCTTCGGGGCACCTTGGGGTGTCTTGGAGGCTGCGGAGAGCGTCTGGGGACCATCGCCGGCGTCTGGGGTCGATATTCCAACGATTCGCGGCCCTCTTGGACCGCGTGGGGGGGCGTCTTGGTGCCCTCTTGGAACATTTTGGGGCGTTCCCCCCCCCCTTGGCGCGCATTGTCCGGAACCTGGCGCGGCCCGAGGGGGCGGGGGGGGGGGGGGCAAATTCGAAGTTTGGGGTCCCCAGGGGGGGATTATGGGGGGGAACAATCTCACACGCCTGAGGACCCACAAGGGGTCGGCGGATTTCTCAGTTGCCTTGAGAAATCCGCCTGCAGGGGCACATGCCCGATCTAAGACTCGAGCTCGCCGAAACTCGGGGTTGCCGGGGCTCGGGTTAGCTGACGCTTTTAGACGAGCCCGTCCTGGATTTTGACGGTCCAGTTTTCGTGGGGGATGTTTGCAGCGGGAGCTCGCGCCAAATTTCAGATTGGGTCTCGTCATTTTGTTGACGGCCTCGCCAGGCCAACCCGAGTCCCTCGAACCCGCGTGTTACGTCTCCCTGGGCCAAAGCAGAGGTTCAGAGGGAGCCGTCCCGATCGAGAAGGATAGTTTTTTTGTTGAGGAGCTTTGGTCGAAGGACAACGAAGGCATGAACAAAGTGCCTCTGAGGTCCGCGCGGGTTTCTGGGATCGGCGTTGGGACCCCTGGCGCGTTCCGCGCGCCAGGGAGGGGGTCCAGCGCCGATCCAAGAAACAGCGGACCTCCGAGGAACTATGTTCGTGCAGCTGTTCGTGTTCATATTGTTGGTGAGCTTTGTAATATGTTGAGGCGTTGCTTCGTTTGTTGGATCTCCAGGGGCCTCGGAAGGCTTCCTGGGGCCTGCCTGGGTTCAGAGGTAGCGCCCTAGGCAGGGTAGGCGAATGGACCATCGTGAGACGACAGACGTCCTTCCCCCAGCCTTATTATTCGTATCCGTCAACCGTGTAGCGTTAGACGACTGCAGAGACACAAGGGGAGGCGTTGACGTGCAACAACACGCTCCTGACCCTCAACCTTGCGATGAACGCCATCAGCGCGGAGGGCGTTCGGGACATGGTGACAGGAGTTGCAGCCAACACCGAGACTGCGATCCGGAAGGACGCATATTCGTAGTTGAAGCCGTTGTCGAGTCCCATCGTTTTTTTTGTTCGTTGAACGTGTGCGCGCAGTGCGGTGCCAATCGAATTTGTTTGTGGATCGCTGCTTCCGTAGATCGACCATGATGTCCAGCGTGGGCTCAAAGCAGTGCGTTATTGCATGCTGCACGTGGTACGATCTATGTGGCACAAGCTATGTTATGCAACGTCTGTGGTGGTCCCATATATATATATGATGCAATATATGTCTTGATATTAAGTTTGAAGAACTTGCAGTTGACAAGTCCACTGCTCGCGCAATCATCCCACCCTCCCACCCGCAACTCCGATTGCAAGACCCATGCGGCAGCGATTGCGATGATTCCTTGGCCATGGCTGGCGCATCTCTGATGCCGCACTGGCGCGCGCAAGCTCGCGCGCAGAGCGGTCTGCTGGTCTGGCGCAGCCGATGTGGTTTCGATGGCGCTCACCCATGGAAACTTCCCAGCGCGCGTCCAAGCTCGCGCTGGCGCGCGGGCGCTTCATTGCGGGTCGGTGGCTCGGTCGGTCGCGGTATCATGATGACGTCGGTAGCCGCTCCAACAATGCTGATTGTAGCGATGGTGGTGACGATGATTACGATGACGCTGGCAAGGCCAATGGCGGCGCCAATGCTTGTAACACCGATGACGGTGACGATGCCCATGTGTCGCTGATGAAGGTTTTGCGAGGATTTCGACATGCGCGCGCGGCCGACGCGCGCGGGTGGTCCACATGGTATTATTTGACAGGGATCGTGCCCCTCCCCCAGAAAAGTACGCCTGGGCGTTCGAATGATTTTGTGACACATGCGCGCGCGCGAGAGGCCCGCGTGCCCGGGCCGAATTTTCGTGGAAAAACGGTACGCCTTTCGGTTGCTTAACAGGTTGCCGAGCATCTCGATCTCGAAACCCGTGCGACGACCAATGTTTTGGACGGATTTCGGCAGTCGCGGCGACGACGCGCGCGGCGTGGACTTTTGTCGCATCATCATCAGCTGCAAGGGATTGTTGGTTCTAGGAGCGATAGGGGTGATGCTTGGAATGGTCCGAAGTCGTATGTAAAGTAAACGTTGCGACTGCATCATGCGTAACTTTTGCAGTGCTCCAGAGGGTGGGGATACGTCTGGCCTCGGGAGGGTGTTCGGAATTATTTTTCTTGGTGGTGCAAGCTGTCTGGTACAATGTATGTGGAGCAAGCTGCGTTGCGCAAGCGATTGCTGCAACGTACGTGGTGCAAGATATGTAGCGCAAGCTACGCATGTGCTGCAATTTACGTGGTGCAGAATATGTGTTGCAAACTGTGTCGTGCAGCCTATGCGAGGCACGGGGTGCCCAGGAGGCGGTCACAGGAGGCAGCGAGGGCCGAACCACCCACGGGAGCGACTTGTGCGAAAACTCCAGGCGCCGGAAACAAAGAGCGACCGCTCGTCTGCCCCGTAGCCAGCTTTTGCGGGGGATTGGAGTTGCGCTTCGCCGCGGTCGCCCCCCGCCGCGCCAACTATGAGCTTCGTGGGGAGGGGGGGGGGTGTTCCTGAATTGTTTCCGCCTGCCGTCGCAAGACCCAGCCAGCCCACAGCACGACCACGAGGCCCCCACGGGCGGCGACGAGGGGAAAAAACTTCAGCAGGAACTCCCAATGGTCTCAAGAACCGAAGTCATAGCCCCTACCTTGAAGCACTGCTTGGCAACTTGGCCAGGACCTTTGCTCCAGGGATCGTGGAGCTCGCTGAAAGAGTCTACTTAAACCGCCGGAAACAGTGATGAAATGGCTGAAAGCAATGACTGAGTTCGAAAGTTATGGTATGTATCGTTCACGGTCGTTACGCTACCATCGCCCTTCCAGGGCAACACGTCCCAGACACACACACACACCACTAACTGGCCCAACGATGCTTTAATTCCGGTGTCGGGTCAGCTTCAGCTGGGATAAAAATGCATCGCAACCACATCGTCACCATGCGTTTTCTTGGAATGCCCCAGTGATGTTTTACATAACGGTGCGCAAAACCTTTCAAACTTTGGTTAACTGATATTTTTTTGTAACGTGTTGGCGTTCCCGATGCATCACCAGCAACATTCGACGCACCCGTAGAAGCCACTGCTTTTGCGTTGTTATGAGTTTGTTGGGGGCACATATAGTATCCACAGTTGAGTAAGTGGCGTCACTTTGTAGTATCCGGGCCGTTTGCGGTTTGGGTCTCGTTCGTACTTCCAACCCTTATTTTGTCCGAAGGTCTCCAAGTCTAGGTTGTGTCTCGTCACTTCTTTTGGAGCGTGTATTGCATTAATACAATATGTGGCGCTTGACTTTGAGGTGCATTGGGATCGTGCTGTCATGGAGTTTCAAGTGCAATCTGCTTGTCGTGTCGGTTGGGAGAGAGAGGAGGCGCTTGGGCATAGCTTCCTGCCGATTCGTCGCGGATGCCCGTGCCATGATGGTCAGATCTGTGTTTGGCAAACAAGATGTCACGCAGTAAAACTAGCTCTGCAGATTGACGTGCAGCACCAGTCCCCCAAGGTTCCTACGGTGCCGATTGCTCAGTGTACGTGTTTTGCAAAGTATTTCGCACGAGCACACCGGGCAATGCATCGCGGCCCGATTACATCGCTATTTGATGACGAGCCATTCTTTCCGATCCGCCTGGGTCAAGCACTTGATGTTTCTGCGTGCTGCCCCAAACCGACTACATTCTCTGCTCTCCCCTGCCTTACAGCATGTACCCTTGGTTCCCCAAAGCTACAAGTCATGATACCATGACCACTATTGCCATCATGGCGCTTACGCGATTGTTGCTATGTCGTTGTTGTTAGATGGCTGCTGTTATAAAGTTTGTCGCTGAAGCCGCAGATCTCTTTGTGCAGACAAGTTGTTCCATTGCCTTTTGCTCCTGTACCTTCTCTTGTCTGGGAACATGTGTGCTAATGACTTCATGTGCTCACGCTTGGGAAGGATCAGTCTTCTTGGGCCCGCACGCTCTCGCTGCTTCCGAGCAAGGCTAGCCCAGGACGCTCCTACAGTTCCGAGGAGGCCGCTCGAGGGCGTTGCGCCACTTCGGTGACCTCGTGGCCCCGCACGCTACCATTCACGCGCGCGTGTGCGCACTGCTGATCTGGCCTAGTGTGTCCCGTCGTATCATCAGGCATCAACGCGTACGCGCACGAGCTTTCCCTCGTGCTCCCTACTCGTCGTCGTCGTCGTTCCGCGTTTTCTTCCTCCGCTGTGCTTCATTGGTTCAGCGGGCTTCCGCGGCCCTTCTCCCCCTCCCCTTCCGCCTTTCCTCTTCCGCCGCGCCCCCTTCGCTCAACGGCAGCCCTGCTGCACACGACCGCAGCTCAGATCCGAGGCGCCGCCGACCACTAAAAGCACATCACGCCCCTCCTCCGCGCCCTTCCTGCCGCACGCGGCCATCCCCCCCTCCCCCTCGCCGCCGCGCCGAAGGCGGACCAGCGCCGCTCCTCCGCGGCGCCGCCCGAGCACGTGGACTTCGGCAGCGCCGCCAGCGAGGCGGTGCTGCGCAGGTTCGTCGGGCTGCCCTGACGGCGGCAGAGGGCCCCCCCCCCTCCGTCCCGCCCCGCCCCGCCCCGCTCGCTCCCTGCGGCGGTGGGGGCGCTCGTGGAGGGGCGACGAACGCCCCCGCCGCCGCACGGAGGAGCGGGGCGGGGCGGGGCGGGAAGGAGGAGGGGCCCTTCTGAGGGGAGCAAACAATGACATAACCTTGAACACTCGGAGGTCCGCGCAGGCTTCTCGGATCGGCACTGGAACCTCCCTGGCGGCGCCTCCGGCGCCGCCCCTGGCGCGCTCCGCGCGCCAGGGAGGTGGGTCCATCGCCGATCCGAGAAATCCGCGCGGACCTCCGAGTTTTTCTGTCACGTCATCGCTCGTTTCCCTAGGAGGGCCCCTCCTCCGCCCCGCCCCGCCCCGCCCCGCTCGCTCCGTGCGGCGGTGGGGGCGCTCGTGGAGGGGCGTGGCCAGGAGTCTTCGGGCCCTGGAGGGCCCCTTTCTTGACGAAGGCGGCGGTGATGCCCATGGCCACGCTTCGAGTGGTGTTCCACAGGTTTCCAGACCCTGCATTGTTCATCCATGGGTTCCCTATCCACTGTCCCCACCTTAGCCGCCGCATTGGAAGCAATACATTGTTCGATGCGAAGATCCCCGGACGTACATTTCATTTTCTGGCACGTCCCTTTGTCAAGGGTCTGGCTGTGGATGTCTAGGTGCGTGCGTGAATCCGAGTGGACCACGGATGCGACGACGACGGCGGCTACGATGAGGGACGACGACAACGGCTCACAGACAGACAAGCGGTGAGCAGGCCCTCTCCCTTCTACTTTAGCATCGTTCTCTTCCTCCTCGTCGTAGCCCCCCCTTTTCTTCCTCTCATTTCCCTCCTCCTCCCCCTGTGTCCTCCTCCTTCCTCCGTCCTCCATCCTCGTCCTCCTCCTCCTCCTCCTCCTCTTCCTCCTCCTCCTCCTCCTCATCTTCATCCTCCTCCTCCTCCTCCTCCTCCTCCAGCCCCTGCGCGCCCAGGAGAGCTGCAGCACCTGGGGCTGGCGAGCCCCGCCTTACCGAAGATACCCTTCGCCGGCGGCAGGCCCGCCCCCTCTGCCGTCGTCACACCTATTACTCTGTATCCATGTCTCTTTGTTCTTTCTCATGCTGACCTATGTGCACTGGAATGCACAAAGCTGTGACGACGGGAGGCTGTTCGACATCAGCGACGAGTTCAGGAATGTCGACGTGATCGCGATCACGTCCACGGGCCAGCCTGCCCCCGAGGATCGTTCCACCATCATTACCGACCTGCACCACCACTTTGCCCTGAGGAGTGGATACGCCGTGAGCAGACACGTGAATAAGTCCTGCGGCGTGGCCCTTCTCCTTCGCAAGAGAGCATTCAAACGCAAGGACGTTGTCGACTCGCTTGCCACTCCTGCGGACCTGCAAGGACGGGTCGCCCTCTTTCGCCTTCGCTCAGGACGATTCGACCTGGTCTTCCCTGTCAAATACTTCCCACCCAAGCCGAGCGGGCGACGACTCGGCAGGGAATCCCACGCTCCGAATGCCCAGAACCAATATCGTACGACAGTGGACGCCGTCTGCCAGTGGATGGAAAAGACCATGACCTGGGCTCGTCGGCGTTCTACTGCGGTGTGGGGCTACGACCTCAACGACGGCTACGGGATACGCACTCGCTCTGGACAAGCTCAGTGTGTAGTGACATCCGACGCGCTGGGCACCTTCGCTAGATCGGAACAACACTATGCTGCCGATCAGGTCTTGGAACTGATGGAACGACATGGTCTGGTGGCGATAACTACGCACTACAACATCGGCCCGACTTACTTTGGCGCCAAGTCTTGTAGCACTATCGACTACATTGCTGTGGACTCGGCCTTGGTTCCTGCTGTTTCGCACTGCACGGCGCTGCGACGGGCCAACATGAGGCTCAAGCTGATCGGCAAGCAGGGCCTCCAGGACCATGTGCCGTTGCTCCTGAAAGTCGACTACTGCTTCGACCTCAGCTCGGCTGGCCCTGCTCCTGTGCGCTGGGACTTCGACCGCCTGGCTCAAGCGCTGCAGAAAGGAGAGCGGGTTCAAGAGTTCATGTTAGATCTGGAGGCGCAGTTCGAGGCCCAGGGGGACTTCCATGACCTTCTTCTCCACGCGCCTGCCCCTGACGGTGCCTGGGAGCGGTGGGTCACCCTCGTGTTTTCGACGGCGGAGCGTCATTTCTCACGTGCAGCTGCTGTCGATCCGAAACTTCGGGAATACGGACGCATGCGGAGTCAGCTCCTCCGAGAACGACGTCAGGCTCGTGAAGAGGGTCGAGGTGATCTCGCGTCGGCGCTGCTGCTGGCACGGTGCTCTAAGAAGCTGAGAGTTCTGCGACGGACCAGACAAGATGAGGCGGTCTCTCAACTGGTCGGCGAGCTCGGTCAAGCCTGGCGTGGACGACGGCATGCGGAGGTATGGAGACTCGCTCATCTTCTTGCGGGGCGCTGTGGAGGACCTAAGCGGCGCCGCTACAACCTCGCCTCCTCCTACGCTCCGCGCGTGGCCGAGATCCGCACGCACTTTGAGCAGGCTGGCCCTCTCGGCGGCTTCTCGGCCGTTCCCGTCACCTTCCAGGACTATCAGACGGCGCTGCTGGAGGATCTGCCCGCCCCCGACTCCTTCGGAAGCGACAATTTTGCACATGTCGAACAGGGTCGTGATGATCTGGCAGCAGTAGCAGAGCTGGCAGTGACGGCACCTCGGCGCAAGGCGGCGCCTCTGCATTCGATCCCGACGGAGCTCATCATGCTAGTGCTGGACCCGATGCGCCGCTTCGACGGCTCGTACAGGCGCCCCCGCCGCCGGCGTCGCCGAGGGGACGAGGGGGGCGACGAAGGTAGTGAGGCGCCGTCACAACCTGCACCGTCTCGGCCTGAGTTTGCACCTCGGCATCGGCTTGCGGGTGATATGCGCGGTCTTGGTGCTGAGGCGGTGCCGCAGATCTCCAACGAGCATAGCATCAAGGCCCTTCAGAAAATATTTCATCATATTCGGAGAGTTCGGCGTGCGCCAGTGGTATGGCATCATTCCCGTGCGACTGGCTTGGACAAACGCAATGGCAAGGAAGGCTTCTCGGCGCGTCGTTTCATACACGGTCTGTGCCGCATGGGAGTGTTGTGGTACAAAGCTCAGCTTCGTCGAGGCCCTGTGGACCCCGTTCCCGATCGTGAGCATGGTTATCATCATGGCCGTAGTCGCGAGGGAGCCTTGATCTGTCAGGAAGCGGTACTCGGACGGTTGAGGGCACTTGGAGTTTCGACGGTTACGGCTAAGGAAGATATGGCCAACGCCTTCGGCTGCACTTCTTTCTCATCATTGAGGGCCACGGTGGCCACATCCATCAGCGAGGACGCGCGCTGCTACTTCCACCAGCGCCACGAGAACAGCACGTTCACGATTGTTGGCGCTGACGGCGAGCAGACGATGCACAACCTGTGTGGCGCCTTCATGGGCGACAGCCCCGCGGCCCTGTTCTTCGCGCGCACCTTCCGTCATCCTGCACAGTCGTGGCTGGACGCGTTGCGAGACGAGACCTGGTCAGGCGAGGCCCCCCCGCGACCGACAACCTATTCTGCATGGCGAGAGGCTGCGCTGGTTCCGCCGACACCACCGTCGATCCCCACTCGCACGGTCTGGCCGTCCGAGGCGATCTGCACAGCCTGGGTTCCCATTCTTCAACGCCCCGTGGACCTGTCGTGCAGGGTCTACGCCGACGACACCAGCAAGACGCACGTCGTCACCTCCGCGCTGAACGCGCGGCACACGCTGGAGACGGCCCACAGGCACCTGCACGCTGCGCTGGCCCCCGACGGCTATGCGCACAATCCTGAAAAAAGCAGCGTCACCCCTTCGTTCGTGGGATTCGGTTCTGAGAAGCATGCTGCTGCTGTGTTCGGGGGTACGGTGAAGTTGCCTGGACGAGTCCAGTTTGATAGTGTGGCGTTGGGTATTCAGACGGCTGTAAACGGGGGCGTCCAGGGCGAGCTTCAGAGGCGAATCTTGGCATGCAGGAGGGGGTACTACACCATGGGCCGCGTCTGGAGCCAGAATCGAGTTTGGAACTTCACGAAGATCGTCTTCGGGTCCGTGGTCCAGGGCGCCCTTCTGTCAGGACTCACTACTTTGATCCTCTCGGAGGCCCAGGAGTTGCGTCTCGATCGGGTCCTGGTCGGCTTCGCGCGTAAGCTGTTGGGAGGAGGAGCCTGCATCAAGACGGAGGTGGTGGATGAGGGAGGTGACCCTGTCGTCGATGATCGAGGTCGCCCCGTGCTTCGCTACCGTGCTCTGTCTGACGTCACTGTCCTGAAGCGCGCGGGGATCGCTCCGACTGGAGTGGAGCTGCGTGTGCGAAGGCTGAAGCAGTATCAGCAGTGGATGCGGTTCCCCGATCGTCACCCTCAGGAGTTAGGGGCTCTCTTCGGGCAGCTGCCGATTGATGAGCGTCCCACTTTGAGCGAGGAAGGTTTTCTGCTGCAGGAACAGAGGGGAGTCAACCCTTATGCTCGACGCTTCGCGTTCGACATCCTGAGCCTGGTCCAGAAGTCGGAGGCGTCTCTTCTGGAAGGGTGGTTGTTCACGGGCCCTGCTTCGGAACCAGCACTTCGGTTGAATGTTAAGGCCCTGTTCATGGACGGGGACCTCAAGGAGCAGTTCCTGACCTTAGACCCTGGGCTCCTACGGGCGGCTGAAAAAACTACGGCAATACCCCCACCTCCTGGGCTCTATGGTGCTCCTCCTGGTCTCGAGGCCCCTGAAGGTGATCGGGATGTTCCCCCTCCTCCTACGTCGTGCTGGACCTGTGATTTGAAGGACTCCCAGGGGCAGGTGTGCGGGCAGGTTTTTCAGACTCGTCGGGCCCTTCTCGCGCATCAACGCTTCTCCAAGAACGGCGGCCACGCGTGCAGGTCCCTCGTGCACACCATCATTGTGACGAATGAATGTATATTCTGCCGTCAATCGTTTCGCACACATCGCATTGCCCAAGAACACGCTGTGCAGGCAGTCCTTATGGCCCGATGTCCTCCGAGGCCCTCTACGTTCCATCACACTGTCCTGGAGCCCCCTA